TCTTGCAGTCCCCACGAATAACAGAAGGCACTGCGGACCATAAAGAATGGAAAACTGTTAAAACTTCGGTCGAAACATAACATGATATAATTATGCTGAGCTGAGAACTTGATAGTCCACAGACTTGGGAGATCTCTGCGTTTGGTATGAGAGACGCACCATTTAATGCCATAATAGTATTCCGCGTGATCTTTTACAACACGATAATCAATTGGGAACTAGTGTAGATCGTCATAATGGTGTGAACTTATGTGAACACAGTCGAGACATCATCTCTGCTTCGAATGGCTCCACATGGCTGCCTGTGTAAAACTCCAGGCAAAAGGACTTACTACGGTTGTGCATTATACTAATCTCTATCCGGAAATGCATTTAGTTGCAATGCAAATCAGGTTAAGGACTTCTCCTTGATTATTTATTTTCTGGTCAAAAGCATGAAAACGCTGTACTACATAAAAACGGTCTCTTCTTAGGTAGTCACTGAAGACCAGATTAAGGAGATGGCAATGATCACTTTTTGCCTTCCGTGGGAGTGTGTTTTTAATCTTATGTTTCATTGACATTGTGCACGAGGCCACGAAGCATCTACATGTTTGGGGAACCGGGGGGGATGGGGATGGGGGTTGGGGGGTAAGACCAAGTACCAAAAGAATCACGCAGTTGGTCAATAAAGTTGACTGTAAAGTTTGACATTTTCTATCAAAGCAATGTCTTGGGACTTTCTTTTCTGATGTAAACATTATTACACTCATCTATGACGTCAAAAAGGCTGTGCATGGGCAAGCGTACCAGAAAATCCCTTGTCACAGTTGAAACAAACCCCAGCCCGAGTCTTGTCCTTCATTGAGAGGTTGTTCTACAGTCGTAAACGGGGGTGGATCTTCGATCCCCACTTGTTTCGGATCGTCAGGACGGTGCAGGTGTTTGCGTGACGTTCGGGATATGCACAGTACTCAGCCCGCTTGAATAATACAAGTCAAAGTAAGCGCAGTATGATAGAAACTGTTCCGTAAGGGATCTGAAGATCTTGACAGAACGTATTTTTCCTCTTCTCTTCCTTTCTCTGGCCATCGGGAAACGAAGCGGCTAACACCTTCTAGCTACTTCATTAATACCGACCAATACCCTTCTACCTCGTCCGGACAGAGGGATCTATCGCACGTGGGAACCTCCGCTGCTACCAGGCACCGGGAGGAAATGGCACGTGCTATCATCTCCACTATGACGATAGGACTCTGCTAGCTTCTCTCTTCGGCCCTTGTCTCCGAGGAAAATAGCGATGCTCGTCTCCCTACTCCCTGCTCGCCGCTCATACTTCGTAAGGTAGCGGGTATGGACGCGGGGGGGGGGGCGGTCCTCTTCGGTGCTTTTAATTGACACAGCGACCAGGGAGACGCCCGGCATATCCCAATGTTGGATCGGGCGAGGTTGGTAGTCGTATCGCCATGGCCAACTCGTGACCCAGAGTCACCCCCAAAGCCTATAATGGCCGGGATGATCTTGACCTACGTAGGTCTAATAATATTCCCATAGTATATAGCTCTTCAGCTGAATCGCCCGGCAAGGGTTTTCTAAGCGGGATGGACACATGTGATAGGACAATAAGGAAATCTGCTAGCTACAAGGGAGAACGAGTGGGTTTAAGATCAGCGTCACAATAAACTAAGCACACTTTTCTTGTTTGTATGCTGGCAGGTGCATGGGCAGGCAGGGCTAGCAGATTCCTCCGTCAGGGATCACTACTACAGCCTACGAAGAGACCAACCCCACCGGCGGGTTCCCGCTGGCTAAGATCTCTTCGGAGGTAGACCCGATGAACGCCCCCGCTCAGCGTGGAGGAAATTAAAGCCCTTTCCTTCTCGTGTGCGTTTTCACGTAACCAGAGCTTTACACTGCAGGTATCTGCCGGCTGCCTAGGAAAATTTATCAAGGCGAAGTGCTAGTTTAACAGTGATTCTGTGCCCACTGTAATCAATGCCAACTTTAAGGGGCCGCTGTCCTCTAATCATCCAGCTTGTCCTGCCCCCCCCCTCTCAGGGAGGGAGGGGAGAGCCTTTCTCTATCTCAAGAACGAACGTCCTCCCTTCTCTGCAGCCGCATGACCCGGCAAAGCTTGCCCCAGTCAAACTTATGGGGCCTCCTGCAACAGCACTCGATCCCACCGCCTTTAAGGAACTGAGACTTCCCCTCCACTAGAGGTCGTCCTTTCCGATTATAAAATCCTTTTTTTTTTTTCTTACTCACGTTTTCCCTTCTCTGTTATTGTGACGAGAGCCCAGACCCTTGACAGCATCAGAAATCAGTTGTCTCCCATGGCACGTAGGATTGAATGCGGATGCGCAAGCAGGTGAAGCTCTGAAAGGAAAAATGACGAGAATGTGCAAAAAAACTGCAGGGAGTGTGATGAATCATATGAGCATTTTAAAGATATTATCGTTTGTAGATAGATATGTAGACTATTTAGATGAGTGTATACGTAATCTGTACGGGCATAGACGTCAGAGTAGAAGGGCGGTATAGAGAGAGAAGATGAGGCGCGGGGGGAGAGAGCAAGGGAATGACTAGTCAAACGTCACTTCAAATGGCTGAAATCATAAGACAGTCAGTGATGCGTCAATCAGCGGGATCCCATCTTCCTTTCTCTCCTCGGGAGTAGCTGCATTTAGTGCCTATGAGAGAAGACAGAGGAGAGGGAGGCTCGCAGTGGAGAGAGAAAGTAACGAGGGAAAAGAGGGAGAGAAGCCTGGCGAGACGCCAGACGCTCTACGATCGCACGTGCTCCATCCCCACGCGCACCGGGGCTGCCGTGCGCTGCACTTCTCTCCAGCTCTTCCCTCCGGTCGTTGTCTCTGTTTCTCACGTCTCCGTTTCGTAACTCTGCTACAGTCAACCTCCCCATCTGCTTCTTCGTGGGGGAGCCCCACGCCAACCTCCCCCCCCCCCAGCCAAAGCCCTTGACAATCCCCCGATCCACGGTGGCGTGTGCATGGCCACCTCCCTCCTCCCCCCACGGCTGGCGCGAGTCCCCGTAACTCGACAATATCGGCAGTCTGGGCGGGCCAGCGGCAGCTGCAGCTTGCTGCAGCAGCAGCTGAGCAGGAGAAAAGAGACCGAACAGCTCTGGAGAGTAAGGGACTGGCCGTGACAGCCACGCGAAGCAGCGCTGCGGCCGAAGGTCGGGTTCATCATCCATGCCCTCCTTCATTTCTATTACTTCACCCCGTCCCTCTCTCTTCTGTTTTCTTTTCTCCCTATTAAGTGACCCCGGTAGTCTGCGGAAGCTGAGCCTCGCGACGAGCACAGCACAGGGTCATTCCTCACCGCGACAATGGGCTGGATCTGCACTACTGTTGAAGAAGGCCTCCAGTTCCTCCCACTGTGTGCCGAGTCCTCTCTCCACTGAGTATTATTCTCTCGCTCGGTCCGTTTCTACCGTCTTATTCCTTTCACGGGGACGTCTCTGTGTTGTTTCTGCCTCCTCCTTCCCCACCTGGCGTCCGTCTCCGGGGAAGTACAAGAAGCCTGATTGCGGCCGTCCCGACCATCTCCCAGGACCTTCGTCGACGAGAAGAAGACACTGCCGAGACACTGTGCGGAGCACAGCAACAACAGCGGGCTTCTGATACCTTAGCCTCTCAGTTCGACTGATGCCTAGTCGAGCTCTCTAACTCAAAATCAAATCGAGCACCTTCAGATTGATTGGGTAAAAGATTGTTCAAACATACAAGTATTTTCTATTCATATCCGATGGGTTTTTAAGTTGACCAATTTAACATTTCTGGAGATACGACTATATTACCTCTATCTTTGTGTTCAACACGCATCAATCCAAACCTGACGAAATTAAAAGAGCTCAACGTTAATTGTTTTAGGATTAACTAGACGTATCGCTAGCCGTCTGAGACTGTTTCCGTTGGATAACTAGAATGGGAGATCTTCCAGTCGAGAAGATCCATATGCTTTCTTTAATGATTAGATAAACCAATGGTTTGCTTCTGGATAAGATATCTTTATGGATGGGAGTAAGCTCAATCCAGAATATTGGATCACACCTTAACAGTGAACCGCCCCGTCCACTGAGAGAATGGGTGGAGCAAGCCTAGAAGAGTCTGTAGCCGTACCCTTCCGTTAAAAGACTTGTGTGTATTGGGCAGCGATACCATAGAGTAGGGTTAACAAGAAAACCCGAGGCGGAGAGGCAGAGAAAGGAGATCTGACAGTAGAAACAGCATATTCCATGTTTCTCCGACTAAGAACCGATCGATGCACAGCCTTTGTTGTAATTTCCTTCTCAAGTCTTCCCTCCCTCTGTCTCTGTCTCTCCCGGGTAGGGGATAGACAGGAGAAAACACCCATTGAGAGGGGAGGGGTATAATAATAATTTGGTCGTCGTACTGGGGCAGAGCCACGTTGAAGTAAATATTTCCTGTCCTGTTTTCTTCCATTATTTATATTGTCCCAGCCGCCCAGCACAGCCATCCAAATTGCTCTCCTTTTCTCTCTCATCGTCTGAGTCCTCTCTCTCTCTCTCTCTCTCTGTCGCTCCCTTCTCCCTCTCCCTCTATCTCTCTCTAGAGGAGCAGGGATGGGGAAAAAAAATCTCACCGCACCAGATGGGGATATATCCGCTCATCGGCGGGAGGTTCTAAAAGCAGGAGAAGCGGCAGCGGAACAGTAGGCCGGAGGAGAGGAAGGAGCACCGTCAATAACAGAAACTGATCCGGACGAGGAGACACCAACAGCCGGTTGAGCGCGAAGCACCACTTCCCCCCTCCATCCTTCATCTTCCTCCTAAGCTCCCTCTTCATTCTGTCTGTCTGTCTCTCTCTCAGTCATCGAATCGCCTTCTTCTCATCCTCTGGTAGCTGTGCCAATAGTGCGGGTTGATTGTGCAAGTGTACTGTAACGCGCAGAGAGAGAGAGAGGGTAGGGCTGGGTTTGCAGCCCGAGAGAGAAAGAGGGAGATAGGGAAAGAGGAAGAAAGAGAATTGGATCAAGGGATGAGCTTGGAGGAGTCTCTCAAGTCTCTGTCGCTGGACTACCTCAACCTGCTCATCAATGGGCAGGCCTTCAGTGACGTCACCTTCAGCGTCGAGGGCCGGCTTGTCCACGCCCATCGCTGCATCCTCGCCGCCCGCTCTCTCTTCTTCCGCAAGTTCTTCTGCGGCGCTGAGCCGCCGCCGCATGGCGGCACGGGCCTCTTTCTTGATCAGGGTCACAACCACCACCGCGGCCCCTTGTCGCCGTCCTCGTCTTCAGCCTCCTCTCCGAGGGGCAGCGGTGGGATGGGGAATTCGCCAGTTGTACCGGTAAACTCAGTGGGGTACGAGGTGTTCCTGCTGCTATTGCAGTTTCTGTACAGTGGACAGGTGTCGATTGTGCCGCAGAAGCACGAAGCTCGCCCCAATTGCAGCGAGAGGGGGTGCTGGCATACCCATTGCACCTCCGCCGTCGACCTCGCCCTCGACACCCTCGCCGCCGCCCGCTCGTTTGGGATAGAACAACTGGCACTCCTTACGCAGGTCTCACGCTCTCTCTCCTTTCCCCCTCTCTTATCACTTCTAATCTTCTCCTCCTTCCTCATTCCATGCTTATTCTTAGCTTCACTTCATGTCCATTTATGATCTATATTATTGATTCTCGTCCACATACTGTCGAGAATTTTCCCACTTTTTCATGTGGGTTATTACCTAAATTGGGCTTTCTAGTGCATCAGATATGGCGTGTTCTTTTCCGCCGTCATCCATTTCGTCCTTCATGAGCTTGACTTTTGAATCCTTTCGTCAAGAATCCTCCTCCGTCTCTCTCTCTCTCACTCACTCTCGTACGACCTCGACGAAAGACTTCCGCCATCGACTGTTTGCTTTCGCCTGGTTCTTCTTTATCCAGAAACGACCCCTCCGGTGTTTGCATCGGCAGCCCCTTCTCAGTGATGGACTTTCTTCGACAAACACTTCAAAACCGTACACTGGTGTAAGCCTACTCTTATTTCTCCCGCGATATCTTTTCGCTACATAGGTGAAAATTTGTCAATCCTCATTGACCTTGTTCATCATTTTCTGTTGCCCCTTTCCTCAACGTCCTCCTTTCTCCTCTCCTCTCCTATCACACAAACTCCGACAACTCTCTCTCTCTCTCTCTCTGTGTATCAACTCATTATCAGACCTTCAAACTGGATCTTACATTTTATGCGAGCATCTGATTTAGGAAACGTATTTACAGAAGCAGCTGGCTAGCATGGTGGAGAAGGCGTCGATAGAGGATGTGATGAAGGTTCTGATGGCGTCGCGGAAGCAGGACATGCACCAGTTATGGAGTACCTGCTCCCACCTCGTTGCCAAGTCGGGTCTTCCCCCGGACGTCCTCGCCAAGCACCTTCCCATCGACGTGGTGGCCAAGCTCGAGGAGCTCCGCCTCAAGTCCTCGCTAGTCCGGCGCTCCTCCTTCATGCAGCCGCAGCACCACCATCAGCACCAGCTCCACCCTTCTCTCGACATCTCCGGCAGCGCCTCGGCCGAAATGGAGGAGCACCAGAAGATACGCCGCATGCGTCGCGCCCTCGACTCGTCAGATGTGGAGTTGGTCAAGTTGATGGTCATGGGGGAGGGGCTGAACCTCGACGCCGCACTTGCTCTACACTACGCCGTCGAGAACTGCAGCCGGGAGGTGGTCAAGGCCCTGCTGGAACTCGGCGCTGCCGACGTCAACTACCCCGCAGGCCCCGCCGGCAAGACCCCTCTCCACGTTGCTGCCGAGATGGTCTCCCCTGATATGGTGGCGGTGCTCCTCGACCATCACGCCGACCCCAATATCCGCACCATCGACGGCGTTACCCCGCTCGACGTTCTCCGCAACCTGACCTCCGACTTCCTCTTTAAGGGTGCTGTTCCTGGGCTCGCACACATCGAGCCCAATAAACTCAGGCTCTGCCTCGAGTTGGTTCAGTCGGCGGCTCTCGTCCTCTCAAGGGAGGAAGCCGGCGGCGGCGGGACAAACCTAAATGCAGGAATCTATCCTCCGGCAGTCGGCGGCGGAGAGCCCAGCAGCAGCAGCAACAACAGCAGTAGCAGTAACATGGTCAACCTGAACTTGGATTCAAGAATGGTCTACTTAAACCTTGGTATGGCGGCTGCGGCTCAGCTAGGGTGCAAGATTCACGACGGTGGTGAGGACGGCGGGGGGAATAGGTCCCAAGGCGGCGGCGGGATCGGGTCATCCTCCATTTACTCCCATGGCTTCCCCTAGACGCTCATTGCTGCTACTCTCCTGCTGCACGCCATGTTAGCGGCTCGCCTACCATTAGTACTACCATCAGCAATACATTTTTCTTAATACGAGGTCTTCCGCTTCTTCTCCTGTCTCCTAGCATGTGAATCCCTGCAGATACATCTCCTCTCTGTTAGGCTCGTGAATGCCCAAGGCTAGCATACCAGGACAATCAAAAAGAGAGAAAGATATAGAATCTTATAGCTTGAAGACAAGCGGGAGGGCCGGAGTCGGACGAACCTGCTACTCAGATGACGATGATTATGAAGTCATAGTTGCCATCAACATCACCCAAATCTTATTTTCGGTTTTTTGGGTTTTATTATATTTAAGAGATTCCAGAATCTCTCAGTTCAAAATTCCGAAATTGTCCTAATTTGATGTTGACGCACGGATGCTTGTGAAATTGTCTACTACCATATTTCTTCCTAGAAAGACATCCTTGCAATTATATATCCTAGGTACAAGTCTTTCCAGGCAAGTGTGTGAACTCTCTCTCTCCGTATGCACCCTTATCTCCCTCCGATCAGGACACACTGTAAACAGTTCTTTGTGTTCGAGAATGACATGTATTTTAGACCTTTCCTCGCCCTTCTCCCTCCCTCTCTCTATAAGTCACTTGTGCAGCAAAAGGTAAGTGAAATCCTTTCTTGGATGAGTCGCCTTTTATGTTAATTTCTCATAACTGATGATGTAAAATAAGGTTGGACAAAGTTCTTAACATATTTAGAATAAACTTTGGGGAAATCTTATCATTTTTTTGCCTAATTAATTGTCATTTAAAAACAAAGAAATGTCCCTATTTTTGCTCGCCCTGTTCTCAGGGGTCTAGCCGTGTGGAGTCACCTAACCCTATATTCTTATGGATGACTAGATAGCCGTGTCGTCCAGCTCCTTACATCGACCACCCTCCATATCTCCTCCGGTGGGGTTCCAAAAGTGTGGCCAGGGTGAGGCGATGGCTCGGGAGACAAGCAGAATCTAAGTGAACGTTGAATGACGGGGGAGATGCAGGTCACTTTTTCACTCTGGCTTGTCACGACCCCGTTTGTTTTCTTGTCATTTATCTAACCTCAGGCGCCCGTGCTACACATAAGCCTCGTGTTTTGTCTCCCCTCTTGCTCTCTCTCCCTGCCCCACACTCCCCCTATCCCCCCTCTCTCTTTCAGAATGTATTATATAAACGAATAGAGTATTGGCAGGCCAATCTTCTTACCCTCGCCTGTCGAACCCTTTAGTTTTATCGCCATCTAACTGTTATCAGTAACACTGTTTTGTCTACTACCTCTCTCTCTCTCTGTTACACAACGCGGGTTTTCGACTCTGAAGTATAAACTTCTCCTTCTAAGTGCACACATGTAGGCATAGCTTCATCTCACGAAATGCCTCTCTAAGCTTGCCTATCCACGACTGCCTGGGCCTTTATTACTAGGACTGCTCTGAAGCAGGGAGAACTCAGATTCTTTTGTCCTTTCCAGTGCCTCTCTGCCTTATGAATGAATGGTTATTCAAATATAACAGGCCTTCACTTGGGGGTACGGGAGGGCATCGCATGTCCTACATTGCAAGAGAAGGCAAATGAGCTGTCTCCTCCTACAGCGCTCGTAGGCCATGGGTTTTTCTACAGAGCCTTCCCATGCAGCAAGCCGGCGCCTTTTAGCCGTTTAGGCTAGTTTTTTATATTAGAATATACGCACTGGGCTCTACGCAGATGAATGGCCTGTCTCACCGCGGTGCAACATTGAATGTGACCTGACGACGCTCTAACAGATCGATGTTTTTGCCTAAATCCGGATCCCATTCTCCGATCCACTTTCTCGCTCTTCTTTTCTCCTTCATGAGCCGTTGAGAGGGAGAGAGAGAGAGAGAGAGAGTCAAACTGTATCTGCCTGCTCCTCGGGCGCTTTATGTCTTAGCACATGCAAATCTTGACCGCAACAGTGTGCCTCTGTCTATCCCTCTCTCTCTCTCGTTCGCTTTCTCTCTAGTCTACGGCACATGACAAAGCTACTCTTTCGCTACATGTTTATTTATACATCTATCTGTCTACCTACTTCTAGATTAATCTATCTGCTTGTCTTTATATCTGTCTGAAAAAAACATCCTTCTCTGGAATCTCTTGTTCATGTTCATTGTGAATTCAAAACAAGGGGGAGATGGATGAAGGTGGCCGTGAGATCCAGGTTCATCCCCTCAGATGCTCGTCATCCTCCACGTTCTAACGCCTCCAGTTTCATCTTTGAATATATTTTCCCCCTTTGTTCTTGGAAATGTTACGCTGAACGACATGGAACCCAAGACTCCGCGGCCCCTTCAGTCTCATCTAATTGAAAAACTAAAATTATATGACAATAAAGATTCATAAACACCGAAGGGGCTTCCGGCTTCTCGTGTCCTTCAAAAACCGAGTCAGATTCTGAATAACAGCGTAGTTTGCTCAGCGCGCAGTCAGTTCGATTGCCACGAATCTCTCTCTCTCTCTCCTCATTTGATTTTTTTATATTCTTGCACTAAAGTTTATACTTCTTTTACCGATTTCAATAACCGTTCACATGGAACTAGAGGTGAACAGTCTCTGCCATGAAGGCTCCTTAAGAGAGTAGGGATTGTTGTTGTTAACGGTCTACCGGGCTATTGAAATTTAGTTGCCAAAACATATTTCTACATATGAACGTAAGATCAACGAGCGTTTCGTACTGCTCACAAAATTTGTACGCTTCTGTAAAATTCCATAGTATGATGGCTGCCTGATTCATTGAAAGTTAAAGAAAGAGTATGATGCGTGCTTGATCCACTCACTAAATAGACTGTGTAGATCGATTTAATCTCTACCCAGTGATATCTGATAGTTACGCACCACACTGTGACAATCTCTTTCTCGAATGTTATCTCACAAGCAATCATAGAGCTACTCCGACCACAATTATGCAATAATGTATAAACTAATACGAGGATCGAACGGTTAGCTTGAGAGACTAATGGTAGAATCTCAGATCATATGCTATTTGTATATCATATTATTTATTCATTTTAATCCATTTTATTGGAACTTCGAATTTGTAGTAAGATGAAGTCTCATTCTCTCGGTTGAAAGAAAAACTCAGAAAATAAATGGACTGCTGGATCTCCACGAAACCTAGACCCTCAGCTTCTAGATTAATTTATTGCCCACCAGCTTCCCTTAAATTATAAGTCATCCAGGAGCACAACTTCAGCTCCCAGATCGTCTTGTGGCTATCGTCGGGTCAACATTGGAGATATGCAGTAACAATGATAAAACCTTGTAGTTATAAATATCAAGCAATGTGAAGAGCACCCAGTACTTGCAGCCTATGGAATACGGCAGTAGGGTGGGTAGAGCCTACCTCCTAAATGACGGAATGACCCAGGTTCATACCGCTCTCACCATAGAGGTAGTCACTGCGTGACGAGACGAAATCATAGCCAAATTCCTCTAATTCTTAGTTGTTCAGTGTAACTTTATAATGGTTGTTTACCAGGAGAGTGAATGGATTTTATCTACCTGGGAAGTCTCCACTCAGCCTATGTGGATTTGAAACTAAGAAATAGATGAAGAATAGAAATAATAAAGGGTTTTCAACCAGACCATATCTGAATAGGCTGTATGTGATGGGAAATGCTATATAATAGTTTAGCATTTCATAAGCGCAAGAGAGCATTTGTTTGTATAACTAAACTCCCACTCTCAGTCGAATGGTTTTTAGTTAGATGACCCAACAACTCTACCACAATCTGACCCACTTTTTAGTATCTTAAGAAAAAAGAATCCAATTCAACAGATCCGATTCAATCCGCATTTTGTCCGACCTGGTGATCCTATTTTGGGTTAAGTCAAGAAATATGAAACCAGGCATTGATGGTACGGAGTTAGGATCCGACCTGGCCCATAAATCAAGTAGTTGGGCTGATTACCCTTTTGCGTGTGCACCCAGAAAATTAGTCACGTTATTGCGATCACAAGCCCTCTGGGCGAAACCAGTTCAATCAGAATCGGACTTTGTTCCACTGAACGTTCTAAGTTTTTATCACAGAAAAACAACATCTACTTTATTCATGGTGCCTTTATCACGAGATGCTCCCCAGGCGACTGATTTTCCATGAGAATCTGATACTAATGTAGCCTCTATAGACCGACACTTCCGACGATTGATGGACTCTCAAGGACGTATCTTGGACTAGGTTCATTCTGAATAAGCAATTATTGTCGCTAAGAGTTTACACTTTGATGTCAACCAGCAGAGATAGAATGCTGAATGTCAAAAGGCTATCATTGAGTAGATCTTTAAATAACAACGAGGTCTACTATCTCCCAATTTTCTGGTTGAGAATGATAACAAATTCATTCATGGAAATTGGTCTCTTCTCATAATGAACAGAACCAAAGAATGGCCACACACAAGTAAATGATAGTGTTCTCAGATTTGTTTGAAAATGGTTGCATCTGCAGTTGTTAACACTTTAATAGTCAATTAATTAATGTGTTTCATCATTTTTTAAAAATACAATTTTATTTTTGTGCACATAATTTTATATCCAGAATGCTGACCATATTTTTCAATTTTTTTAGTTTATCAGTTTTAAACTTTTAAAAGACAATTGTTGGATGTCTTGTCTTGTGTTGCATGAGCCATAGAATTTCTTCTTAATTTCCTAGGCCACCTTAAAATTCTTACATAGTATGATGAAAACTTATAAAAATGCTCAAAGTTGATCTTAATAAGGGAAATGCATAGTCAATGTAACAAAAACAAAGTTAATAGCCTAGTATTACTTACTAGAGCTTCAACTATTTTTCTCTAGTAGTTCATATGTAAGGTTATCTCATTAGTTCAACACATACTTTGCTTGTATCACATAAAAAATAAAATAAAATGTTTGTGGATTCGATAATATGGACTTTCACATGGGATGAGCACTTTCTTAGCATACATCCCATCCCACCTTTGAGGCACTTGGTG